TGTCGGCAGCGAGTCCCCTTCCTTCGCCGCGTCAGCTGCGCGGCTTCAGGGCCGGTTGGCCGGGTCTGCCCGGAGGCCGAGGCCGGGCAGCTGTTGCGCCAAGGGGGGACAGCTGCGGAGTTCCATAACCATAGCAACCGCATCAGCACCGCGGCGGCGGCGGCGGAGAGGGCAGCATCCTCTCTTGCTCCTCCTCCAGGTAGCCTTGCTGCCCGCGGGGACCAGGGACGGAGACCCAGCTCACAGGTGCCGGACTCCCAGGTCCGCCCACTGCTGCTGCAAGTGTTGGCGCTGAAGAAGGTGACAGAGGTGCTACAGGGACCTCGGAGTGGTGGCCAGAGGCGGCGGCAGAGGGCAGCCCTGCGGTGGAGACAGGTAGGTGAGAGCACTCGCGGTCCGAGGCGGCAACTCTCTGTCTGTGGCTGTGACGTTTCTGGAAGCCTGGTTGCTAGTTGGATGGTTTCTCTTACTTAACAGGGATTCCGCCTGGAAATGTGGTTTCTCTCCGTCTATCTCCCCCAGCCTCCCTGTCCTCTGGTCTCGGGCATATCTGGGCAGGTCTGGAGAGGCCAGAGGGGGACATCCAATGGGGAGATGTGGGGTGAATGGGGGGTCCCCTCCAAAGTCCCGGATGGAGGCTGAGGGAGGGAGCACATCTGGACCCCGAGCAGCAGGTCCTCTGAGCCCTTGAACCTGGGGCAGGTTGGGGTGAAGACCCTGTTGGGGTGAAGGGGCAGTGGTAGCGGTTCCCTGTAATCCAGAAGGACCCAGAGGCCAGTCTGGCTGTGGCTGGGCTGGGGACAGGGTGTGTGTGTGTGTGGTGTCACTGCAGCTCAGCTGTGACATGCACAGGGACCAGCGCACCCCAGCCCTTGGTCTGGGAAGTCAGCTTCAAAGCCAGCAACTGGAGGGGATATGTAGGCGAGGGAACTGGTAATTGTGGCCGTTTGGGGGCCCAGGTGTGTCCCTGAGTTTATCCTGTTACTGCCTTTGGCCACTGGGGCTGGGTGGGAATAGAAAGATTATAAACTAGCAGTCAAGACGCCCCCTCCCTTTCTCCTCGCCTCTTTTCTAGCCATCCCGCACCCCCAATATTGCCAGCAACACAGACAACAGAGGGTATAGGGACACCCCTTCTCTCCTCGGCCACCCCCGGGGCTCCAGCCATTGGCAGACTCTCCCACGTTCAGATGCTGAGGATCTGCCTCAGCTCTGTGTGAACCAGGGAGGCACCTCCCACCAGGCTTCATGCTCTGGGTGTTAACAAATGTGTCAGTGGAGAGGCACTGGGCTGCCCACCGCAGCGATGGGCTGTTAGCTTCATCCGCAGGCCAGAGGCAGGGGCAGAGGTCAGGCCAGTGGGGGCCAGGGCCCCGGACTCCTGCGGGGAGGGAGATCAGGTCAGGTGAAGCAGCTGGGTCTAGAGCAGCGGTTCTCAACCTTCCTAATGCCGCGACCCTTTAATACAGTTCCTCATGTTGTGGTGACCCCCAATTTCATTGTTACAAATTGAACATAATTAAAGCATAGTGATTAATCACAAAACAATATGTAATTATATATGTGTTTTCAGATGGTCTTAGGCGACCCCTGTGAAAAGGTCGTTCGACCCCCAAAGGGGTCGTGACCCACAGGTTGAGAACCACTGGTCTAGAGGCTATTGCTTATGGGTAAGTGGGCCTCTGGGCAGTTTCCGGGATGGGCAGTCATTGATTCTTCTAGGGCCCGCTCTTTATACCCCGGCCTCGGTGGGCAGTGATAAGTCCCAGGTAAGAGGCCCTGCTCTTTAATTGGCCTTTTAATTTATGCTGTAGTTCTGTTGCCTGAGGGGATGGGATGTGGCCTGCATGTCATCTGGGACTTGTTTGTAATGAGGATGATATGCCTGCGTCCCAGGCAGATGGTGAGGTGGAGGGAAAGGATGGGTTTGAGTTCTGACCTCATCCTATAGCTGCCGTGTGACCTTGATTGTCCCCACCTGAGTGAGACTCCTCCTCATCTGTGGAATGGGAACACTAACCCTCCCTGCAGCTGACCTGTCCGGTGACAGTTGAGTGGGATGATGGAGAGGATGCACGGGGAAGGGCTTTTGAGAACCTCACGTGCCACGAAGTTAAAAGCAGTTACCATTCTTTTAAAAAGGAACCCCTTTCCTCCACCAGCAAATCATCAAACAGACGTCAGCTCTGAGAAGGGAGTCAAATGATGGTCGGTGACTCACAGTGGAGACACTGTGCTCTGGTCTGAGACACACTCGGGGATAGAAAGAGGCCTTTATCGGGGGACACAGCATGTCATCTCCTTGCTCACAAGTGGTGAAGGTCAAGGGCTTTGGCCTCAAAGGCAGGACTCTGTCTCTTTGGGAACATTGGGGTCTGCTCAGCACAGGGCTGGGATAAGCACTTAATAGTGTCAACAGATCTGCACACGGTGGGGGGTTCATTTCCATGTGGGTTAGGTGGGTGCGTTGGACACATGGGCTCCTTGTGGGCAAGGTTCCCTTTCATTCACCTGTGCTCCGTCATGCCTGGTACTTACCAGCTGTTTGCCCGCTGTGACTGAGTGCCCACAGCTGGACACAATGGCCAAGGGGACCACAGTTCTTGGAGGAGCCGGGACTGGCTTACAGTGTGTCCTGCTCCTTGAGACCCCCGCTCTTGCTCATGCTGGTCTCTGTCCAGAATGACTGACTCTCCCTTCTGTCTTTCCTTCAGGACCCAATTCAATGCCTCGTGCTCCCGGAAGCCTTCCTGGCTCTCCCCTCTCTCCCATAGCTCTTTGGACCCACTCCGTGTCGGCCTGTGCTGTCATGCTGGCACACATGCCTGTCCCCGCTCTCGAGTTCATGCTTCCTAAGCACAGGAGCCTCCCCCTGATCTCCTATGGTCATGGCCCAGCAGCTGGTGCAGCGACGGCCATGGTGATGGCTGCTGAACGAGTGAACGAGCCTCGCTGGCCACATGACCACCTGCTCCGGGGGCGGCTGGCACAAAAGAGGTCCCAGCCGCTGTCCCCATCCCGGCGTGTCCGCAGGCCGGGAGGATGCTCGCTGGGCTGGCGTGCAGGATTAGGGCGGGCCCCCTGAAGCAGAGGGAAGGAAAACAGAAATGCCTCGTTTGCCTTAAAATGCTCGTTGTTTGTCAAGTGTGCACTTTAGGGTAACTGGGTATGGAATGGCCTTCGCACACCGCTTGCTGAAAACATCTGATGGAAGATTTTAAACTTAAAATGTATTTCCCTCCCTTCCATTCCTTGACCTCAGCTCCAGTCCAGTGGAAAGGCACGTGGGTTGGATGGAGAAAACCTAAATTTGAATCCTGGCTCTGAGGGGACTCGGACCTAGGACACTGACTTCCTCGTGCCTCAGTTTCCTCACTTGGGAACTGGATGCTTATGCCCATCTCACAGAGAGGGCGAGGGCGTGGAGTGGCCAAAGAGCTGTGCAGTCTTGGCAGTTTCACAAACTGCAAAATACTCCAGCCAATGCATCATTTATTTTTCTTATTATTTTTTTGTCCTGAAAAAATGAGCCAAATCTCTGTGTCTAATGAATACAGCCTCGGCCAAGATGGGCGGGAATCCCGGCTCCCCCACTTGCAAGCTCCGAGTGACCTTTAGCCCTCATCCCCCCCCCCCCCCACCCCCTGCCCTTCCACTGGCCTCTGATGCCATGATAATGACCTTTCGGGGGGAGGGGGGCTCGGGAGATGCACGTGAGGACAAGAGCCATGCCCGGCACTTCCTGCATGAAGTGATAGAAATTTCCAGAACTTTTTGAAATGGCCCAAATGCATTTTCTACTTTTGTTATCTACCTGTGGGGGGGGGGGAGAGAGAGAGAGAGATCTGAGAAGATAGCGATAGACCCCATGGCCCACAGCCCCTTCCCCCTCCGAGTGGCCCCAAGGGCATGGAGTAAGCTGAAGGTTCAGATTCGGGAACCGTGTCCTCACTCCAGCTCTGAAACCAACCGCTGGCAGGTCTGTTGCCCTGGTCTCCTCACCTCTCTGGGCCCCATTTCTTCTTCTCTAACTGCCCTGGCTGATGACCTCGCTGGCTCTTTTTCCCGTGTCCACACTGACCACAGGGTCTGTGCCACTGCCTGTCCAAAAGTGAAAACAGAAAGCACACACCGTCTGGCCTGCTCATACCTTAAAGCCTTCTCGCTTCCTTCCTGCACCTTCGGCCTGGAGGGGTCGTCCCACTGCTTCCCTGGCCCCCTCCCGCCCCTCATTCAGTCCTTTCTCTTCAGAGGCCTCCTGGGCCACATGCTCCAGACTCCCTCCCTCCCTCCCTCCCTCCCTCCCTTCCTTCCTTCCTTCTTTTCTTCCCTCCCTCCCTCCCTTTCTTCTCACAAGGGTAATATCTGCATCATGACCTAAAATCTCTGCCTACCTACTGCTGCTCTCTCTCCCCTTTTTACTGTCTAGGTCAGGGGTGGGGAACCTTTCTTCTTCCTTCTCTTCCTTCCCCCCTTCCCCCTCCTCCTCCTTCTCCTCCTCCTCAGCCTTCCTCACTCTCAGTGGTTGAACAGCCAGGACAGAAGAGCCTGTGACTCTGTTCTGACCACCTCCTGCAGGTCGGTGGGTTCCTCCTGGGAGACGTGGCCTGTTTGTAGCTGCAGGGCATTTAGCACAGCTCCCCGCGCTCACTGGGGAGCAGCGAGCAGTGCTTCGGACGCTCATGGAGATCTGGGGCGGGAAAGCTTCCATCGTGGGACCCCCAGCTTCAGTTCAAACCACAGCCACAGCCCAGGCGAGCACCTCGGAGCTCCGGTCAGAGGGAGGGTCCAGGTCAGGGAGACAGGCGGCCTTGGCCACGGCCACTTTCTTCCCGGAACTGCCCTTCCTGCCTCCTCAGCCACCCCTGACAAGTGCCTTTCAGTTAAATGAAGAGACACTTGCCTGCCAGGACTTCCTCCGGGAGGCGGTGGTCAGCCGCCCCCACTTGCTCTGGGTGCAGATGGTGTGGGTCACGGCTGGGCAACGGCTCCGCTGCAGCCAGTAGCGCCACAGGTAGTGCAGGGCCGGGCTGTGCTGAACGCAGGGCGAAGAGCAGCGCCTGTGGGGCGGTTGTTCGTAACCTTAATTGTTTCAAGGATCGCTTTGTGCCTCTAAGGACATCTAGAGTCATTCTTTTCAGAATAAAGCAAAACAGCCAGCTGTGTCATTGGGGCCATGGACCCCTGTTATCCTCTGGTGTCCCCTCCTTCCTCCTCCCCCCTAAGGGTGCCTATTCCTTGGGAGGGGGGAGCCTGCAGCCAGCGTTCCCCCGGCGCTGATTCTCTGGGGAAGCTCGAGACAGCAGGTTATACACTGGGCGCCTCTCGGAGAAATGGAAGAGCGCCGTCTAGACTGAGACACCCTTTACAGTGAG